GTACCTAGTTATTTAATAATTAATTATTGTACTGACCGGAGATTAATCCCCAACAAAGGCTGAAGTCAGAATTTAGGGTGTACTACTACAGGTTCTAATTAAATAAATTTTAATCTTAATAAATTAATTATTTTTAATTTTCATTCGCTCGTAATTAGGAATTTTAATTAATGGATACAATATATAGGGAACTCATATAATTTATTTATTATTGTTGTTTTGTTTTTAATTAGATTTTTTAGTAAATGTTTTCTTGTGTATGATAAGATTATAATTTTTATAAGAGATTGACCAAAGTTTGGATTTCCAGAAAATGTTTGACGAGTTTTGGTGGCTTTATTACAATTCTTTGAAATTATACAAGAATTCTCCATATATGAAAATGACTGGATATATTTTCAGAGCGAAATCCCTAAATTACCCCTAATGAGCATGTATTGCAAAATTTGGTATTTTTATTATGTATTATTATAATTAAATATTTATGAGTCCCACAAACAGATATTACAGCAATCCTCATATTTATTATCCCAAAACATACTTTTCGAAAACATCTTTCATCGAAAAATCGAAAACACGTTCAAGTGTGTGTGTGTGTGTGTGTGTGTGTGTGTGTGTGTGTGTGTGTGTGTGTGTGTGTATGTGTGTGTTTGCAGCAATACTGTAAACAAGGCAAAAACTAAAACTGAAATGGATTGCAGAAAGTGTAAGAAACCGAAAAATCAAGAAAATACAATTGAATAATTAAATGACTTACAAGTAAATTTGACGTCAACATCAACTCGAGATCATATGTATGTATATATGGCTGCAAAAATAATTTAGTTAGACAATAGAATTGAAAATAGTATAAATAAAACGAAAACCGAAAACCATTTGTCGAACGACGAATAGTCGAATACGTACCTTTTGAGCTTATAATGTTTTCTTCAAGAACAACAATGGTGAGTCAATAGAGAAGAAATTAATTAGTCAGACTGAGATTCATACATATATATTATATAGATATATATAGAAAATCCCAAAAAGAAAAAAAAAAAAAAAAAAAAAAGGTGAAATTGTTTTTTCAAAAGCTAAGAAATGAAAATATGGTAAAGGCATATATATGGAAAAGGATGAGCTTAATTTAAGGATTATTCAAAAATTAAATAAAGGTCACTTTGTTCTTTAACAGTTTCATTTATGGAAATGCAAATAAATTAATTACTTATGGACTTTAATGAAAATTAAATGTTTTAGTGAGAATTTATTTTTCTTTGAATTAATTAAGGGTTGGCCGACTAATATCTAGGCAGTTTTTGATTTGTTGCTTTGCTAGGTTTTGATATTTTGATCAATAAAATCCGATTTTATTTAAAAAATCTGCAATATATATATATATATATATATATATATATATATATATATATATATATATATATATATATATATATATATATATATATATATATATATATATATATATATATATATATATATATATATATATATATATATATATATATATATATATATATATATATATATATATATAAATATATATATAAATATATATAAAAAAAAAAAAAAAAAATAAAAAAAAAAAAATAAATAAATATATATATATAAAAATATATATATAAATATATATATAAATATA